GGCACTTTGGACCTTTGATCATGTTCAGATGATGTATGATCCGTTGAACCGGTCATCGGCCACTGCGGTTTTCACACACCGCAACGCTGCTTCGCAGACCAGGCTTCCGCTAGCTAGGGGCTTCGGCGGTGAATTCCCTGAGAAAGTCCACTAGTTTTGCATAAGCAACCTAGCAGCTTGTTTTATGTAACGATTATCGTAACATGATTTGTTTGCCACACACACTATATATACATATATTTATATATATCACTTCAGTCTATGCACCGGCCAACTGCAGTTCTGACACACAAAAAGACGAGTTTTATGATAAACTCATTTAGTTGAGCCGAAGCTTCGATATAGTTGTTCTTGCAGGTGATTTTAAGGCGCAAGTTGGAAAACTGAGCGCATCGGAGGCTTGCCTATGTAACCATTGTGCTCTACCCTGCCAGCGAACGGATAATGACGATCGACTTCTTCAGTTCTGCGCAGACCATCATCTGTTCCTATCCAGTACCAACTTCTAATGCAGCTCTCTACGGACAGCAACGTGGCGCTCAAATTCAACTGGTACAGCTGGCAAATAATCGTTTATCTGACCCAGCGGTTTGTGTCCATTTTGGATCAGCAAGAGCTAAACGCGCTGCAGCGTGTTAGTGTAAGAGAACAATGGGATTAGATTAGACGAGTAAGACACTCCGCAACGAGGGTTGCTTGTCCATCTGAAGCGGCAGCCCGTCCAAGGCATTGGGTATATGATGATTTAGTAAAACATGGAAAAACGGGGCAAATCCCGACCAGTTCAGTTCACTTTGTACAACCATTAACCATGCACTTCCGTGCGCCGGTTTTGGTTGCTCTCTTTCGGTTGCCCATTTGGATGAACATTAGGAGAAAGCCAGGAATGGTTGAAAGTAGGATCGAAGAGAAAATTGAAAAGTTCAGTGGACTAATGATAGAGAAATTGAGATGCACGAATGCCACTGTTTACGACACCCAGCCATATCGCTCAGTGTCTCCAACCACCGGTTACGACCATCCCGAGGTCCCCATCTAGGAGGTTGACTACCTGCTCCCGTGTGCGACCGCGATTACCTAAAAATCTGCGCCTTACCTCAGCATTGCTCGTCCGATTTCCGTACCAGACTGGTGCACTGCGACGTAGACAGCGGTGTTCGAACACCAACAATCTGCTTTTATCCTATTCGCGTAATGACCAAGTCTCTGCGCCATAGAGCAGAACTGGCTGAACTGCTGCAGCATATACTCGACCCTTCACAGACAGCCGGATGTCGCGATGGCACCACAGATGTCTCAAGTAGGCAAATGCCAACCAAGACTTCTGTATGCGCGCCGACACTTCATCTGTGACGCGTCTGCCAGCGGAGATATAGCTGCCCAGATAGCAAAACTTGTCTACTTTCTCTGCAACTTTCCCGATCAGGGTGAGGTTGGAGACCAGGCCAACCCAATGCTGGAGCAGCATTTTACACTTTGAAGGTGCAAAACGCATACCTAACACGGCTACCCTAAAACTGAAACTATCGAGAAAAGCTTGCAACTTGCTTGGATCTTCACTTAGTATCACAATGTCGTCTGCATACTCCAGATCAGACAGTCTGCCAATCTGGGGATAAATCGATGCCGTTATCCTCGCACGAAGATAGGGTCGTTTCAAGAATTAAATCTATGACAAAGTAAAATAGAAACGACGAGAGAGGGCAACCCTGTGGAACACCACTTTCCTTGATAAACTCGGGTGAAAAAAGTGCCGTAAGCTCGGACTCAACTTCGGCTATTAGTATGAAGCGATCGTAATATTGAAATAAACTTCTCGGGCACACCTTTCAGAGAAAGGTAGCACCAGAGTCTAGAGCGGTCGACTGAGTCGAAAGCCGCTTTTAGATACAGGAAGATAGGGTTGGTGGGTCTACGAAAAGAATGTCGCTGCTCCAAAGTTTGGCGAAGAGTGACGATGTGATCGATACAACCTCAGCCAGGTCTAAAACTAGCCTGGTTCTCACGCATGCACTCTTTATGTGCGGCAGACAATCGACGGAGTCTAATACCAGCGAGGAGTTTAGAGGCAATGTTGATTGGACTAATTCCTGTGTCGGCGACGTGATATTTCATTGAAGTTGAAAAGTCGCGTACACTGCGCTTCTGTACGATCAGTCCTACTTTACGATTGTGGTACCTTGAATTTGAGAATAGAAGACATCCATCGCTTAGTGATTTCCGGCAATGGATGCTTACAAAGTTTGATTCACGTGGGATAGAGTGAGCAGATAAGTAACCCAGAAATAAATCGTTGGGTGTTTGGAAATGCTTCAAATACGAACTAGCTAGCGCATCAGATTCAGCGCAAAAGCCTCCGTTGGTTACGACACATTTTGCGTATGGCTAACGGTCGCCGACTGCACACCGCCTAATTTGCAGTGGCCGCTACAGGCTGGAGAAAGCCACATTGAGGCCAGTAGATGACGTGGAGACGAGGCATGAAGCAATGCACACAGCGCTTAGGTAGATTAGGTGTCCACCATTTTCTGGGTTAGGGTCCAAAAGACTCCGTAACCGCATGGTTGGAGCCACCGAAGGTCATGGCAGCAAATCGATAGCAGTGGCAAACTTTCTATCATTTCTTATCAAACCCGAATGCTTGAAATAGTATGTATGAACCGTGGGACTATGTACTCCGTGTGTTTACCATAGAGGTCCGCTTCCTTTTCCCGCCCCTAAAAATAGGCCCCATTCCTATCCTCCTTATAGTTGTTCACTGACCTTGTATGCATGAGTTTGGTAACGATCAGTGAGGTTCACTGCACTGTATTACGCTGTACGATAATGATGATGATATCTATAAGAATCTCCCCTCGAACTGTAATTCACGTTTTGTATTTGAAAGGATGAATTGATTGTGATAGTTTTTAATCATCACAGCTTCTTATGGTAAGTTTCAGAAAGAATTCTTTCAACTTCTAATCACTATTTGCGCATTGAATTGTATCGTCATACCTCAGGTCGGGTTAGGGCTTATGGCCAGCTTTCGCC